ACATTTTCAATCAGGGCACCGAGAACAGTTAGAGCCATGATTGGGCAAAGTCGTGATGACTCTGCCCAATTGGATCACCCTGTTACAACTGTAAACAGTTGGGCGGAGCTAGCTGCCACTGCTACCTCCTCCCAAATGTTTATATGTTACAGCATCTGTCAAAATGCCATTCTGCGGCGGGTGTTCGTCTCAGCGACGGGACGGCGGTTGCGGGTTTTTTAAAAATTATTTCTATTTATTTTTTTTGTTTTACTTTTTATTTCTTTGAGGTGGGCGTTGTGATTGACGTTGGATTACATCGGTGGATCAATTTTGGGTTGTTTTTTTTTAAATAAAAGACTTGTCAAAAACTTGTCTTTTGTTTTTTTTGAAAATAAAGGATTTTTTCAAAAGTCTGGACTTTCTATTTACAATTTTATTTAACCCTTTAGTGAATGGGTAGGGGTACAAGTACCCCTTACTCATTCACAAGGGGGGATGCGGCATCCGGGTGCCCCTTTATTAAAGGGGTACACTGATGTGAATATGCCCCCTGCCCGCACCCCCACAACCAACCTTTCAGGGCTTGTGGGGAAGAGGCCCTTGTCCCCATCGAGGGACCCTGGAAAAGCCCCCTCCCAGTGCCAAGGGCATGTGGCCTGGTATGGGAGGCAAGGGGGGGATGAGCAAGCAGCCCTGCTAGGCCTATGCTCTGATCAAGGGTCTGGTATGGAATTTTAGGGGGACCTCACTTTTTTTCCCCCATTTTGGGGGGCGGGGTTCCTCCTTAAAATTCCTACCATGTCTTAAGGGTCTGGTACGACTTTTGGGGGGAACCCTACGCTTTTTAGAAAAAACTTTGGTCCCTCCTAACATTCCTACCAGACCTAAAGGGTCTGGTATTGTTTGGGAGGGGGAACTGTACGCTTTTTGTTTTTTAAATGTAATTTTTGTGTGTTTAGAAATGTCAATTTTGCTGCAGCAGGTTCTATACATTGTACAGATTTGCCATTTTACAGGCAGGGTAAGGGGACCCCCCAGGCAAGATATTTAAAGGACTGTTTCATTTTTATTGTTACCCTTTAAGTGATGTTAAAATCACTGCTCCTTTAAAAACTGTATTTTTTAAATGTTTTTTTTTCATTGAATTATCCCTATACACTTTTGAAGTATCCAGATCGCCATACACTTTTTATGGCCAATAACTTGCATATAAGCCCTCTTAAAGTGGACAATTGTTTTTGAAAGTTGTACCCCCCATAGACTTGCATTGAGTACGAGTTCAAATTCGAACTTTTTGGTTTAAAAAAGTTCTATGTTCTAAAGTACAAATTCAAACCAAACTCGGGCCTGTTCGGCCCATCACTAGTGGGGATGCACCAGTGCCAATTGTAAAAATGTCCCGATACTAAGCGCAGATGCCGGTATTCTGTCGAGAAGGCCGACCTAGTCGAATTTGCCGACCTCAGCACCTGCGCTTGCGCACAGATCAGTATTATCGAGGAAACTGCCATTTATTGACAAAGCATTTAGTTTAAATCGTTAATTGTGACCGGTAATAATATTCCATCCATCATTTACTGTCATCCATCATTTTACTGCCATGGATGGCACATTATTAACGGTCACAATTAACAATTACAAACTAATACTTTGTAAATAAATTCCTGTTTCCCTGTTATTCCCGTCTGTGCGCAAGAGCAGATACTGGGTTGGTGTTCTCGACAGAACACCCGCACTAAATTTTGAAACTGAAGCAGCTGCCTAAGGGACCTCGGCAGGCTTCCTGTTAACCTGCCTTTTTATAGTGCCTTCCCATGGCAGTGGAGGTTTGGGGGGGCCCTTCATGGTTTCTTGCACAGGGGCCCTGAAGTTTCTAGTTACGCCTCTGACTGTACATACATTTATGTATACAAGTTTACAAAGAAAGAAAGTTATTTAAATATTAACACTCATGCATAGGATTACTTACATGAAGCTCACCAAAAGCACATAAATAATAAGAAGTTATAAAGATTTTATAGTTTTCCGTCTGCCTCCAGAAAAATAAAGCATTCAAATATCACATTTATAATTGCACTTTTTATATTAGCAATGTATTTATTAAAAAATGAAGGTAAAAATGATTTACTATCCATTCTGTCAGCCCACTTCCCTAAAGGGGGGTTAAATCACAAGGGAACGCACAGTCTCCAGCAGCTGTCCATCTACTAGCTTGGAGATGGCTTAATTTTTTAAAATAAGTTCCCTTCACCACTCCGCAGGCATTCCAGCATCATCACATACATTTCAAGAACAGCAGTCCTACATTGTACATGAGGACAATAATGGCCTGTGCATATCCCAGAGCCCTGGAGAGCGGAAGAGAGCACCGCCTGCCAGCAAAGGGAGGAATAAAGTAATATAGCTACTTTTTCCTCTACCCCTTAGACAAAACAAGAATTTAACCTTTACATTTCAATTAGGGGGGAAGTGAAAGGGTATTTTTTTCGCTTAAGCTGGAATTGTGTAAAAATGATAGATGAATAATGATTTGGCTAGACTGCCACCAAGTCAACCTTCTAGGGGTATGATAATCCACCGCAATTCAATTCAAGGTTTGATATCCAGACAGCTAAACAAAGTTGAAGCCAACAATGTTTGAATTCAATGTTGACAAGATATCCCCTTACATAAAGTCTTTTCTACCAGCCATACATGATTTATTTTAGCCTAATTCAATCTTATTTTATTAAGATTTATCAATCCCTGCACCATACATTGCAAGTTTGTGGCATGAGAAAGAGGGATGCCTTATAGGGCAAAGTATGTAGGCAATGGAAACACACCTGCCACAGTCCCAGTACTATGGATGACAAATAATTAAAGCCCAACTCCAGGATAAAAATAATGAAGGTAAAAATGATAATGCTCCTTTAAGCAAACCTTCTCATCTTCCTACAATTTGGCTGTATGACATATTCACTGAGTTGAAGCAAGATCAAGGTGACTACATGCTTGCCAAGAGCACCTCATAGTTCTAGTCGACCTGTGACAATGAGACTGTCACAGGTCGGCTCAGTAGATCGGGAAGTGAGCGAACACATACCGGCGTTCGCTCACCTCTCGATCCTGTCACGGCTCTCTGCTGTGACAGGGGAGGGGCTGGATTCCCCTCTCCCCGCTCCGATCTGCCAGAGCTGACTGGCGGAACAGACGGGGGAGGGGGCGGGTACAGCTGGCTCTGCCTCTAGATAGGCAGAGCCAGCTGTTAGTCACACAGCTGGGCGGATCCAGACATAATTGTGGGGATCCGCTTCAGCTGCGGCGTCTCAGTATACCGCGAGCAGTATACTGAGCTTTGGGTGACGGGAGGACACTAGTTTGTGTCCTCCCGTTACCCAAAGGAGAACTATGGGGAAAAGCCTTAACCCCATAGTTCTCCTTTAAGGACTAGAGCTTGTTTATTTGGTGACAAAAGTTTCATAACTTAGGATAAATAACTAATGCATACATTGTTTTGTTTTTTTGAGAGGGGGGTTACTTTAACAATTAAAATTAGATATTTTTTCTATATTTTCTCATTTAAAAATATGTTTTACTTGTAGGGCAGTCATATGCAGATCAAAGACCAATGCAGCAGAATATATACAATGTAACAGTAAGGTTGTTATATTTCTTTTCTCCATGATTCTCACAGACACTGTAAATTTCATTTTACACAGACGTGGCTGCAGCCAGGAGGCATGTACAAGGAGTGGGGTGTATAAGATAAGTCCTAGGAACTTTTTAGGGCACAAGATGTGGTCCAAGATGTGAAAGTGGTTAAAAGTTTTATAATCATAGCATAGAATTCAGAGGTATGCTTCATCTGCTATATATACTACAACGTATATGCCAAAATACCTG